GCATCTGAAGGGTGTGGGACTCCTTACCAAGGTGGCATCCTCTACCGGCACCATTCAGCGTTGGGAGGTTCGCCGGCGCTGCCACCATTGTAGGACGAGGCTTGTAGGTCTCCTCTTCCCTATTCCTCATACTTTTGGAACAGCCAGTTTGGTTTGATTTTGACCTGTTTATTAGGGCAAGTAAATGGGGGAAACTGGTACAGTGCTCAATGGAGTGTGGATTCGTAACTGCTCTGCGGGTTGCAAGACGTTGACGCTTAGTTTGCCCGCCTCCTCTCTGAAAGGGACATTAGAACAGCGTAAGTATTACAGCACCAATATTGCCTCCAAAGGTTGTTATCTCTTGTGCGTAGGATTAGCTGGCCCACTGGCGCATCTCCTCGTGTGGCAGTGGATTCTTCCACATTTAAGTCGCTGATGTTGCCATCGAGTGCGTATGACCAAGTTCTTACATGACCAGTTTTTTTTATTGTGCGGCTCTGGATGATGGGAAGGATTGTTTATGTGTCTATGCGCATTCCTGTGAGTTGGTCCAGAGTTGATTGATGCAAATGTTAGGAGGAACAGACTTCAATATTTTGCAGTACGTAATGGAGAAGTATGCAGGGTTAAGGTGGGCCAGGAACTACTCCATTTTGCGTTTGTGTCCTTGATGTTTTATGGTGGTTTCATATATTTTGAGGATGGATTTTGTTTGTTTTGTTTTCAGGATTACGATGGCTGCCAATATGTTCATAGCCTCAAAAAGTTGTTTGGACTGCGCCAACACAAATACACCTTCAGGGAGAATTTGTTTACCTGCCTTTCGGAACTAGGACCCCGCGATTGCTGACGTGTCGCATTTGGCGGATTTGGGACTCATTCCCAAAGTCGTGTCTTCTATCAGTAGCATTCAGCGTTGGCAGAACACAGGGACGTAGCCGCCGCTTTTGATGCTGGAATTGCTTGTCAAGTTCTCTTGATTTGATTCAACAAGGCATTGGGCTTACCGTCTGACCTATGTAAGTTCCTTTTTGTTTCCTGATTTTAGTCCTTCTAATTGAAGTTGTATTGGTGAGGAACGGCTTCTACACTTCCTATTATAAATATTTGTTTGTCACGTCTCCTATGTAGCGTCCCGAGACTTCCCTGAAGACGAAAGAAGACACAATACTCGGGTAGAGTATATATATTCAGCACAGGGAAGGTGTTTGGGCTGCTCGCATGGCCCGAAGGCCTGCCCACCCAGCGAGGTACAGGAAAAAAGAATTTGTAATTAAAAGAATGCAATGTATGAAGGATAATTGTGTTCTCTGGTTTTAGGTGGAATTAGAACCGGTTTGAACAATCAGCAGTAGTTAGTGTGATTAATTAAACAGTGCTATGACGGTGTTGGACAAGCCCGTGCCATGAATGTATTATGATTATTCAACTGCTATCCTGAGTGTCGCCTTTGGCTTCCATTGGTATGGATTTATGAGAAATAGCGTCGTGCTCGCTGAATCAGTCTTTTGTTTGACCTCATTGCCATGAGTGGCTTGTTGAACTTACTCAAATATATGGTCTTAGATTCATCCGATGGGAGGTTTTGAGTCCTGCCCTGCAACATGTAAATACTCTTCAAGTGTTTATCTCTACCTTTCGCTAGCTTTATTTGAAGGCTGGGTCCCTTTGTTGCTGTGCTCCGGATTTTCATAACCTGTTGCCTTCAGTGACACTGACGGTTCGTTTCGTATTAGCTTTGATCCTACACTGGAGGTTATTTTTCATTGCTTCGTGAAATACGTCTTTAGCCTTTCATACGTGAATACTTAAATTGGAGTTTGGCGGTAGAGTAAGTCCAGGCACCCCAATAAACATGCTGTCATCCCACTTGTTAAGAGGTCCTGCGTGAAGAATTCTTGAGACACGTCTGTAACATCGACGGAAGTGTGATGATTGTGGAAGTGCAGTTGGAATAGCGTGCAGTGGTGCCTTTTAGTAAACAGCCGTCTTCCTGAATTCGTCCTTTAAGTGCCGTCAGTTTTAATTGTAAGATTCGTCCTCTGCAGGCTAGACTAAATTGCTATTCCTACCACTGCCTTTTGGGCTTGGCTGCCTCAAATTTGGTTCTTAGGTAGAAGCACATGTGGTGGAGTTTGCCTGGTTGGATTGTGGAGGGCTAGTATGCGGTCCTTCGTTGGGTCAGACATTCGAATTGAGGCCAGTTGTTGAAGCATTTTTGCATGGTATTCTTGTGTCAAGGCAAGGTATTGATTTGACCTTCCATCCATTTGTCGCGTTCATATTCGGTCGCGTCTTGACATGT